TTCTCTTAATGTGTCTGTGATAAAATACACTATGTCAGCTAAGTTTTCAACTTCCAGCTTAAAATAGTAACAGCTATATACTTAGAGATATTTTTACCACGTCGACACAATGATGAGATGACACAATACATTGTAGTGGTTGTGGTCATGCTCTTGTTCAATTTCTCTTTGTGAAGTAATAAAGATGTTCAATTTCAGAGAATAAATTACAAGTAAAGGACAGCCGATGTGTCTAGCTGTGTTTGAATTTACTTCTTAAGACTTTCCCATTGCATTTAATGTAGTCGTTATTATAGTCCTGCTGGTGTTTTGGTGCTGCCTCGCAACTCATGAAAATAGCACCTCTGGAGATACAATGTACAAAATTCAGAATCTGAAAAAAATCTTGAATCTGTTCAGAAACTGGAATTTGTTTTATTTGTACTTTTTGATAATTTCTCCCATATAGAGAATTAGTTTTGCAGAGTGATGACGTCCTGCACGGTGCAAAATGCTCAAAAATACACCTTGTTGAGAGGCTCTCTTTTTGGCAGTTGCTTTCTCAGTGTGTTTTCAAATTCAAATTCAAATTCAAATTCTTTATTCACTCATAACATCTTACATAGTACAACGTACAAAGACAGGAGTGTCGTCAAAAAAAAAAATAAAAAAAAAAAATATACTATAACTAATAAATTCACACAACTCAAAATTATTACTACTGACATCAAGTAAAAGTTACCATTATAAAAAACAACAAATAAGATAAAATCCTGCTAAAATCAATGAAAGCCATCAGGTATGTATTCAAAGTGAATTTAGTTTAAAAAATTAACCCAATTCTTGTCAGAATAGAAATCTTCTATTTTATAATATGCCTTTTCAATTAATAACTCATGTAATTTTTCTAGGAGTATGTTTTTTGGATTGTTGGTGATTCTTTTTGGAAGTTTATTAAAAATTTTTATAGCCATGTATTTTGGTGTACGTTCAAAAAGAGTTAGTCTATGTATTGGGAATTGATATAAATGTTTCTGACGTGTGGAATAGTTATGTGTAAATTTAAACTCTTCAAAATTATCTATATTGTTAATTAATAGCTTAACCATTTCAAAAATGTACATACTTGTGATGGTTAAAATCCCTAATCTTTTAAAATGAGGTCTAGAACTGTTTTTCTTTGATACTTTAACCATGTTACGTACAATTGATTTTTGTGCGTTAAGAAGTTTTTAGCGAATTTCCCTATAGGGAAGTAGCTATTACCGTAGGTGGCACGGTAAGACCTAGACCCGGGACCGATTTACTTTTTCATTTTGATGTCCCCAGAGGCCAAAAACACTATTCGTTCAAATTTTTATATATGTATATATATATAGACTTATATATATATATATATATATATACGTCCGTGAACGTGATAACTTGAGTAATTTTTGTCCGATTTTGATGAAATTTGGTTTAAAGGTGTAAAGCGGGATAAACTTGAATGAGTTCGCGAACCAGCATGATCGGACCATGGGAACGAGGCTTTACGGGGGGTTTTATGGGGTAAAAATTGGTTTTTCTCACTTTTGACCCTCAAAACACAAAATTTTCCAATTTCTCTTTAGACCTTTTTAAAGAGCTTAAAAAAACAAATAATTTAGTATATAAAAGTATTTTTGTTCGATTATTAGTAACGGAGAAAATTAAAAAATTGTAAATTTAAAATTCCCATGTTATTCTAATGGAGAATATTGTCAAATGTTGTAGTTTGTTTGTTTATGAATATATTTTGATCAAACTTGGCAAATTTATTTATTTTGTACTAAGCTATCAATATTTTACTCAAAAACACACTTTATTAGTTTCCTTGTAGCAGCAAACCTAGGTACTCGTTAAACCTAATGTTATTAAAATATATTTAACTGAAAATCAATTCAGACCAATGGAAATTCGCTTAGTCGGCAGGTTTGCTGCGGCGGGGGTATTTTGTTTTGGGACTGGATCCCCAGAGTACTATACCATACCTTATTATAGAATCAATATAGGCACAATATACTAATTTACATACTTCCAGAGATGTTACATCAATTGTAACACTTATTGCATAGCCAAAAGAAAGTAATTTTTTTGTTAGATATTGAATATGATCTCTCCAATTTAATTTTGAATCAATATGTATTCCTAATACTTTGTGTGAATCTGTCGGGATTAATAGGCTGCTATTTAATGAATTTGAAGAGTTTTTCCCCTTAAATTGCATAATTTGTGTTTTTGAATTATTTAACAGTAGTCCATTTTGAGAGAACCATTCCTCTAGTTCTTTTATTGATTTCTGAACAATGATTTCCAATTGATGTATTTTTGGGGCTTTTAATATAACATTTGTGTCATCTGCATACAAGAAGAGTTTGCCTGATATATTACAGTCTATATCATTAATAAATATTAAGAATAGTGTTGGCCCCAGGATGGAACCTTGAGGAACACCGTACCTGATATTATTCCATCCGGACAAGAACTTGTGGCCATCCCTATAAACTACTGTGCGTTGCTTTCTATTTGATAGGTAGTTTGAGAGAAGTTGCAATACCTGACCAACAATCCCTACTTTCTTCAGTTTGCAAATAATTAGTTTGTGGTCAACACAGTCGAATGCCCTGGATAAGTCACAGAACACCCCAGCAGTACTCTGCCCCTCATCCAGCGCCTCAGCGACCATGTTGACAAATTTAGTTAATGCCTTTGTGGTTGATTTATTTTTCCTGAATCCAAATTGTGATTGTGAATATACATTGTTCTGTTCTAAGTAATTTGTCAAGCGGAAATTAATTGCTTTTTCAAAGATTTTTGCAAAGTTGCTTAAAATAGAAATTGGTCTGTAATTATTAATATCTGTTCTTTTTCCTTTCTTAAAAATTGGTTTTACTTCTGATATTTTAAGTTTATCTGGAAATTGACCTGACAAAAAACATTGGTTGACTATTAAGCTAATGACCGGGGCTATTAAGTGTTGGGACAGTTTAATTAACCTCGTTGGAGCCTCATCCCAACCAACAGAGCCAGAATTGCTTAGGCTCTGTATAATTTTGCCTATTTCTGAGCCCTGTGTTGGGCACAGGTCCATCAACACTGGAAATGACAAAGCTGATGGGGATTTGATGTCTATGAAAGACGGGGCCGGGACATTTAAAATATCAACTGTGTTTATAAAGTGATTGTTGAAGCAAGAGGCTATGACTCCTGGATCATCTAAAAAACTACCCTCAACTTCTAATTGCACATCTACAAATTTGTCGTCTTTTCAAATTCCTATTTCTTTCTTGACTACAGACCAGGTGGCCCTCATTCTATTTCTTGCATTGACAATGAAATTATTGTTTTCTGTTCTTTTACTCTTATTTACTAAAGCTTTAAATTCTTTCCTACATTTTTTGTATTTTAACTTTGAATTTTCATCATTAAATTCCTTAAATTTAACATGTAATAGCCTCTTCTTACGAGCTAACCTCATTATTTCATCGTTGACCCATAAAGCCTTGGATTCTTTCCTTTCTATGAATAGTTTTAATGGAAAACACTCATGCATGGATGTCAGAAATAAATGTAGAAAACTATCATAACTACTATTGCAGGATTCTAAAAGAGTAAAACTATATAGTTTTTGATGTAGTACGATCAAAAATTTCTCTGAGTTGTCTGTTGAAAAAAATCTTCTATAAATTCTGGGAGCTTTTACTTTATTAGGGAATTTAGGAAGAGACATAATTAGAACATTATGGTCCGAAAGATCATGCTTAATATTGTAAATCAAGGACCCATAGAAGTTTTTGCTCTTAAGAAAATTGTCAATGCAAGTAGCTGTGTTGGGAGTAATTCTAGTTGCCTCTTTGCAGTGAATATAAAAACCATATTTTTTAACAATGTTACAAAACCTACTTGAATTTGTATCCTTTTTTAGTTAATTTACATTAAAATCAGAGGCCAATAAAATTTTTAAGTTTTTATTTTTTAATGCTACAAACCTTAAAAAAGTGTCTAATTTTTTTAAAAACAGTTTTGAAATTTTATTCCCTGGAATCCTGTAGACTGAAACGATTAGTAGATTTAATGAGATTATTTGTACAAAGGAACCCTCAAACAAGAATTCTTCGTTAAATACAGCGAGATCATCTCGAACAATAAATGATAGAGAGTTGTGAATTAAAATACAGGAACCTCCCTCTGATCTCTCCCTAAAAAAGCCGTCAGCTAAACAGAAATTTGACATTTTATTTAAAATATACTTATTATCTTTTCTTATACAATGCTCATTAATACATATAATTTTTACTTTACATTCTAAACCTAAAATGAACAATTCTAACTCCTCCATTTTTCCATTTGCACCCTGGAGATTCCAATGAAGAATCACATTCTTCTTATTGTTGTTAGAAACCCTATATGAAGAGACACTGGCTGAGTGTAAAAGCTTTTTATTTGTAACTATTTCCGATTTCAGAGAAGTTGGTTTCTCTTTGGGATTATTCCTAAAAAAGGAAAGTGCATTTCTGCATCATCAATGTGAATGTAGTTATTATTGGAACCTCCAGGAAGCATTCTCTCACCACTATGCATTATCTCACTGACACTACCATTTCTATTGCCTTGGACTACGGCTTCACAAAAGGAAAGAGGGCCCGGTGCAAGAATAGTGGAGGGGAGTAAACAGGCATTACTTCTCACTGCACTAGACACATACACATCGCTGCTGCATTGATGCTGAAGCCTATGGGAACTGTACAATTACTCAGCTTGCAGTCTAAAGGCAGATGGCATTCAGTGTCAAGCCGAAAGAGTTACTCTTTGCTAAAAAAAACCATTAGAAAGCCATTGCAGTGATAGATTTTTATAGTAGTATTTACAATTTATGACTGTTAGCTCTTAGAGGTTGTTAATGTAGTAGTATGTAGTGTGTAGTTTTATGGCAAGAGCTAACTTTTTAAAACTTATATTGTATCCTAGTTTATTTATCTGTGTCATGTAAAATGATTCAGGAGATGGGGATAACAGCAAATCAAGGAGCAAAGTCATTAGCATGAACAGCCCTGTGAAGATACCGGACTTTGAGGAAACGATCTCTGTGAGTATATTCTAAATAATATTCCATGATTAATATCATTTAGGCTAACTGACAGTGTGATTATCTGTCACACTGATTTTTTATAGATACTATTAATAACAACTAATAATAGCTACCGGTATTAATAACTTAATTTCAAATCCATCAAATCCTTAAATCCTCAGTCAGTATTATAACCAAGACTTTTTGTTCTTGATTATTTATGTTCTTGAGTAATTTATTAGCAATGGTTTAGGATGTACCATAACAAGGGTACACGTGGGACAAGGGCCTACGTTTTAAGAACTTTTAAAGTCCAAACTGGTACAAGTAATACAAAACTTTACACTATTACAGTATATACAAAACATTACAATGTTTCACTGTCAGTGACAGGATTTTAAGTAAGTAAGGTACAAGTTGAAGAGAGTTTTCTTCAGGCCTAATGCTGGTAATTCCCCCCTAAATCATATATGAAGAATCCATTTAAAATACTTAGAACATGATCCAAGCACAAGGTGTTCCAGAAATGAGGGTCTTGGGTTCAAATCTCGAAATTTCATCGTACATTTTTAGAAAGGTGGTGCTTAGAGAAACATTTTGGTGGAAACAGAGCTCAATTATCTCAATTTGTTTCAAAATGGCGGCACGGTTTTTTTCGTGTATTGTTGTAATATCCTGTATTTTCAAAACCGCTAAACATTTTTCAGTTCTGATTGAAAATTCGTAATCCTGATAAACACAGCTTTACATTAATGGGTCACATCTTATTATTTTCAAAATAATAATTTTTTACCATTATTTTTTTGCTATGTTGGTAGCCCTGTTAAAAAAATCAAATGGCAACATATATCAAGTAGCATATCATTTTAAGCGTCTTGTTAACAAGACAACAGCGAACAAGACAACAAACAGCGAACACAATTGGCATTCAAATATTTTTCTGGCAAATAATAAAAGAGCAGCGGTGATTGTACTGAGAGTGGACGTAGTTTACTGAAACACCCAAAGGTAGCAGCACTGCCTGGATCAGTAGTCAGTGTCTTTGTAATGTGGCTTGAAGAGAGAAAATCCCAGAAACTGGTACAAAAGCATTGTCAAACGGGATTTTACGGGAAATTTTAGTACCAACCTACACCAAAACAAAGCTGACATTCTAAGCTACAAGCTAGCAACATATACACCTAGACACCACTTAAGTGTACCATTGAGTGTTTCCTCTGAACGTTACTTCTCTGTGCCTAATGTTATTTTTACATCTATTTAAGTCAATATTGGAAACCCCTTTAGTATGATTATGTTAAAACAGTGCAATTAATAAACTGGAAGTTTAATTAATCCATAGGTTAGCTGCAATAGGAATCAAATTTTAAAACTTACTTGATTTTTCAGGAATCCTGTGAAGGCGAAGTGAAAAAACTCTTGACTGACCTACAGGGGCTTATTGAATGTCCAATCTGCTTAGAAAGTTTGGGAACTTCAGCCAAACAGTGTGAAAACGGTCATGGAATATGCGGCACTTGTTTTAATACTGAGAAGGGCAATAAGTGTCCGACATGTCAGTGTTCCTACCTTCCCAACAAACCAATTCTTTTGACTCAAATCCTTGACCGCCTTCCTAAATTATGCTCGTTTGCTGATAAAGGTTGTGATGTGATGTTGTTTGATAAAAAAGCGGAGCACGAGACATTTTGCAAGTTTAGACCAACAATGTGCAAATTTGAGTCCTGTCAGTGGAAAGGCACAGTAGATGCTGTGATAGACCATGTTAGAAGATGTGAGAAAAGTACTACCAACACTCTGTGTCAAATGCACCTCCCTAATGTCAAGCATACCATGATTAGTAAGTTTGATAAGACACAAAATGCAAGTGTTTATTCAGCAATTATCTATCAAAACCAATTATTTTGGAACTATTTTCATAGAGATGGTTGTTCAAAGATGGTCAGTTACAAGTTTCATCACGTCGCATCATCCAAGCCCAAGCAAAAGTATTACTTGATCATAAGCTTTATGAAAGGTGAAATTGAATTCAAAACGTGTGTTGAAGCTACTTTGGAAACAAGCATTCATTCTCAAGACATAGAAAGAAATCAAGTCTGCTTGTTTCTGTCCGATGAATATTTGGAGAGGTTTTGTGATTCTGAGGGTGAAGGTTATGTCTATACTCAGCAGATCATAACTGAGGAAATGTCTATCAACAAGGCAGTTGTTTGTTAATGATGATTGTACTGATGCAGTTTTCAAGTCTACAAGTGTTGGGTTTACACCCATTTTATTTTTAAGGTCTAATATCAACATTAAATAATCATACTCTATGGAAGCTCACAACTTTCATTTACCAAGGAGGAACTACTATGTTTTGAAGAACTGTTTTGTTTTTTTTTGTTATGATCAAATGTTAAAGATAAGTTTGTAATAATAAAGTATGTTGAGTATAGTATATTCTTTTACTATGTCCATTGTAATTATTTAATGAATGCTCAAGCAAACATTTATAGTAGATCATTGGCAAGTTAAAGTACACAATGTTTAGCAAAATGCACAATACTGTAAAAAATAAAATATCCCTTTAGGTTTGGTTTGAGGTTAACTGGAAACATAATATGCACTGATATTATCATGCACATCACATTACACAACATAAATAATAAAGTCATACAAGTTTTTTTTTATATATTAAAATATTTTAATATTAAGTTTGTAATGGTAATTTAGGGATCAATGCAATCTTTCAAGATCAGGAAAGCTGTATTATTGTTGTAAAGTTTAAAAGTTATGTCTGTGTTGATGAATCCCACTAACGTCAAGGTCAAGAACTCATGGTCAAGCTAAAGATGTGATCAACAGCTGTAATGCACCACAACTTAGAACAGTTAATGCTGTACAAAACGGTTGTTTGTAAATTATAGTGATATATATTTTTAAGGTTAAGCAGATTATAGAATTTTGTCCTTGATTTTGGTTATATATTATTTTGAGATATCCTTCTTATGGCGGGTTAGGTAAATAATATTATCATATTCTTCCCACCTTAGAACGAGACGTAGTCTTTTAGATACTAAGGTCTTTGCCGTATACGCTGTGGATGCGTTTGGGAAGGCACTGAATTTGAATCTTCGCGTGAACTGTTTGCATGTTCAACGGGTACATTCGTGTCACTTAATGTTCCACTAGAATCATTTTACTCTAGTTCTTGATCAAAATTCAATGAAACCCCCGGTTCTCGAATAACTTATTGTTCATTTCCATCTGTTTCTGGCGATTGGTATAGTCTGTTTCTAAAGATGATTGTCCAGGTGTTGGGGCCAGATCTCTTATAGATACTGTCTTCTCTTGTTCATTTGGGAGTTTCACATGAGCATAACCTGGATTTGCTTGAATAAGTTCTACTTCTTCTACAAGTGAGTCATACTTGCTGGATCTGTTGTGCTTTCGCAACAGCACTGGACCGGGTTGTGACAGCCAACATGGAACAGAACCTCCATGATATGATCTTCCAGGGTGCTTAAACATCAGTTCGTGAGGTGTTGTTTTGGTTGATGTACATAATAATGATCTTATTGAGCGAAGTGCTTCAGAAAGAACTTGATTCCCAATACTTTACAGGTAGGTCTTGGGTTCTGAGAGCAAGCATAACAGTCTTCCATACAGTGCCATTGAATCTCTACTTGGCCATTCCCACTAGGATTATAAGCGGAAGAATTGCTTGACGCAATGATTGGACATCATGAGGAAGTGGTAGTTTCAAGAGCGGCTGAAGACGGTCTGGATAAGGATGTATTTTGTTCTTTGTTATTACATACTTTGTTAGGAACCCAAGGTGGTACAACATTTTTTTTGCGTTTAAAAAATAGTATAAAAATATGATTTCATTCGATTTTTTAAATATCGATGTCGGGTGCAAGTGTCCACTTGTTCTTCGACATTCTTAGATTGTGATTTGACAGGAACCCAAGGTGGTACAAAAATGTGACGTCATTGGATTTTGAAACTATCAATGTCCGGTGCAAGTGTCCACTTGTTCTCCGACATTCTTAGATTGTGATTTGACAGGAACCCAAGGTGGTACAAAAATGTGACGTCATTGGATTTTGAAACTATCAATGTCGGGTGCAAGTGTCCACTTGTTCCCTGACATTCTTAGATTGCGATTTGACAGGAACCAAAGGGGGTAAAAAAATATTACAAAAATATGACGTCATTAGATTTTGAAACTATCAATGTCGGGTGCAAGTGTCCACTTTTTCTCCGACATTCTTAGATTTCGATTTGACAGGAACCCAAGGTGGTACAAAAATAGTACAAAAATGTGATGTCATTGGATTTTGAAAATATCAATGTCGGTTGCAAGTGTCCACTTGTTTTCCGGCATTCTTAGATTGCTATTTGACAGGAACCCAAGGTGGTACAACATTTTTTGTTTGCGGTGCAAAAATAGTAGGTACATAAATGGTATAATTAGATTTTTAAAATATCGATGTCGGGTGCTAGTGTCCACTCGTTCCCCAAGATTCTTACATTGGGATTTGACAGGAACCCAAGGTGGTACAAAAACAGTACAAAAATATGGTGTAATTGGATTTTGAAAATATCGTTGTCGGTTGCAAGTGCCCTCTTGTTCGCTGCCCTTTGTTTTCTCGGAAAACAGAAGTGGTACCAAATTTTTAGTTTGTGGTACAAAAATATATTGTAGTTGGATTGTAAAAAATATGGATTACTGGTAAAAGCGACCACTTGTTCCCCGCCCTTTGTTTTATGTTTTGCCTGCGAACGGAAATGGCACAAATTTTTTATTGGTGGTACAAAAAGGTACAAAAATATAGTTGAGATTTTATTTTGAATTTTTATTTTATATTCCATAATAACCAATGCTTTATAGAACTATGTTATTTTAATTTACGTCCCAGCCAACCGAGAAGCTCATGCAAAGAGGTATCTTTAATTAAAGTTTTGGTTATCGAGTATCAAACAGTGTCTTATCAGACCAGGCAAAGCTGTGGTTGTCTCTCTTGTTCTGCTGTTAATTGTCATCCTAGGAGTAGGACAACATTTGACTCTTTATTATCTGGTAACAGCAACTCTCAAAAAGTCAAAGTTCAACAGTTTAAGTTAATGAATGTTTGTGGGAGTGTCGAATTTCAAATTACTTTGTCCATAGTATCTAATTCCAGTAATTTTTGAAGTTACTACTTTATTATCATTTTTTATGAAATTCATCATTATCTCTGCAAAACCGTTTTGACCAACGAGAATCGTAAAAATCCGTAAAATGGTTGATTCGGAATCGTGAAATAAAAAACCCCTTCAATGTTTTAATATATATGATGATGATGATAACTCCTATGACGTGCGGTATGGGAAATATTTTATTCATTAAATGATCAACCATATTTTGTAACTAACGCAATAGGTAGTCATTATTGATTTTACACTTATTACTCATTGAACAAAGCTAACTACTCAAAATTTGTTTTATTTCACTCAATTGATCGTAGTTAGATAAATAAGCGTAAGCACTCATTCCACCATGGCGTAAGCATTGAAAGTAACCGTTGATTTCGACGGGTTTTCACCTTGTTTATAATATTAGTATTAATGAACCAGCTGATCGTACTTGTTGTTTATTGATGTTTCATTTACTTTGATAACATCCCAAATAACAATAGTGAAGTGTTTTAGAAAGTTGTTGTTCAAGATTATGCGCGTGTGTGTTAAAATGTTCAAAATCGTTCTACAATATTTTACAGTTTACCAAATTCTGGCCTTAGTAGGCCAACAACACTTTGCAAACTTATGGTTAGAGCTTCAAGCATTTTGTTATCATGCAAATAAACATACCATGAACATCTGAGTATTGCTTTCGGGAAAAAGAATACAGAATGTAAATTAGAAAGGCATGTACATTTTGAATAATTAAAATTCAGGTCTGTGCAGTATGAAGGGGGAGTCAAATTATTTTTTCTAATATGAACTGATTGATACAAGACGCTTCGATGCCATTGTTGATTTCGAATAAGTTTTATAGCCATTAATGTGCATTCCATTTTGACACGGGCAACGCCGGGATTCGCTGCTAGTTTTTATTTAAAATTAGGCCTAAATCGTGTTACACAATAAGCTAAATTTTATTTCATTTTATTAGTTGTAATAATTGAGTTACACACTGAATTTCGTAAAACGTATCTTATGCCCAAGAACCTTTAGCTTTTTAACTAATGAATGTCATGTGAAAGGAGATTTCAGACATAACTATTTCAATCAGTTTAACTGCTGACATTTAACTTACAACAATACTATTGTGACTTTTGCTTGCAGTTTCATAAAACTAATTATTTATTTAGCAATTAATTATTCAATGGCTATTTGAATCAATGGCACAGCCCTGTCTCTTCCATGGTTTTATCCCCAACCTGCGAGATAGAAGTGGCAAAAATCATTCATGGCCAGCTAAACGATCTGACGACATCAATGCACATCAATGTGGGTACTTAAGCAAGTGTATTTACCCATTTTCCCCCATTAACAAAATTAATTAACTCTTCTCTTCAGTCCGGAACCTTCCCATCTGCATTAAAATCATCAAAAGCCATTCCAATTTTCAAAAAGGATGATCCACAAATTCCAAATAATTACCGCCCAATTGCAATCTTGCCAGTTCTGAGTAACTGGGGCATCCGTGTGGTGCCCTTTCTTTGGGTGAAGTCATACCTCTTTGGTAGGACTCAGTATGTACAGGTGTCTGATTGTAAATGTAAGACTTCAAGTTCAAGGGTCTACCAAGGTGTCCCACAGGGATCGATCCTTGGTCCAGTTTTGTTCCTGATTTATGTCAATGACATACACTCCTCAACGAACAGTGGGAAGATCATACAGTATGCAGATGACACGACTCTCTATTTTGAATCAGAATCCCAAGAAACCATTGAAATTAAAAGCTTCATCAACCTGAACGCCTGCATTCAAAAATTTCAATCTGAAAATTTAAACACAAACAATTAAAAAACAAGTTACATTCATTTTTCATTTTGTCACCGAGACGATGAGTCTACACCCACAGTAATGGTGGATGACATCTCTTTAGAGGGGGTTGAATCCATAAAGTTCTTGGGGATGCACCTTGATAAGGCGCTGAACTGGCAAGAACACATAGATAGCCTCTGTTCCAAAATTACAAAGGGCATTTTTGCCCTGAGGAATCTCACACTGACATGCACAACACAAGTTCTGATCATGGCCTATTATGGCCTTGTTCACTCACACATTTCCAATGGAATTAGGTTATGGGGTGGTTGTGCTAATCGAGATTTTGAAAGGGTGTTTAGACTCCAGAAAAGAGCCATCAGACTCATTGCAAATTTAAGTCAAAGTGAAAGAGAGTCGTGTAGGCTTGCTTTCAGGGAGCTGAAATCTTGGCCCTACCTTCGGTTTATATATTGGAGACTGTGGTGTATTGCCGTTTTCAGTGCCTGTTTATAACATTTAACATTGTTTTTGTTGTATTTAACATTTACAAGGCAATGCTATTCACAGCTATGGTACAAGAGCAAGGGACGATTTTCGCACTGTCCAACATCGCACAGCTGCGTTTGCGAAACTCCCTTCTCAAGTAGGTGTCGGGTTCTTTAACGCTCTTCCCGAAAGACTCAAAAGCCTGGAGAGTTCCCGTTTGTTCAAAACAAGACTGAAGCGAGAGTTGTCGAATCTTGTGTTCTACGACGTGGATGAGTTCACGAAACACCGTTGCAGCTGAATTCATGCACAAACATTTTATTCCCAGGGTTTTAGTGTTGTAAGAAAGACTTAGTAAACCAAAAGTATGGCTTTTATTCATTCAAAATTACAACCATGTTTTAGTTAAGAACAAATACAATATTTACAAACAAATCAAATAATAAATATTATCAGGTGATAATGTTCACATCACCACATTCTCCCCCACTATTTTTCAAGGTAGGTATAGCATATGTAATCCTTTAGATATGACGGAGGCTTGACATTCCTCTTTGGACGTAGTTCCCCCACAGCCGTCTCTGAAGTTGGGGTCTGAGATACCGTTTGTTGAGTTTCATTTTGAACTTCATTGTGGTCAATGTCTGAATTTATATTTTCAACAATCTCTCTCTCAGTAGTGTTGTCTTCATGAGGTAGATCACCAGGAGGTAGGCCAGCGGGTGCAAGATGTCTCAGGGATACTTGTGATTCTGACCCATCTCTTCTTCTGACGAGAGCGTACTGTGGATTTGATTCCAAAAGTTGAACTGGCTCCACAAGGTCATCATATTTATTAGATCTTACAAACTTTCTAAGCAGGACAGGACCAGGAGCGGATAGCCAAGATGGTAAGGAGTCTCCATTGGTAGATCTTCTGCTATGTATAAAGAATCTTTCGTGCGGTGTGCAGTTTGTCGCAGTGCATAAAAGAGATCTGACTGAGTGAAGTGCCTCCTGTAATACTTCTTCCCATGCAGCAACTGGCAGGTTGTGGTTTTTCAAAGCCAGTAGGATGGTTCGCCATATTGTTCCATTGAAGCGTTCAATCTGAGAGTTCCCTCTAGGGTTATAAGGTGTCGTATGACTTGTAGCTACTCCGTACTTGTGAAGAAAGTCCGTCAGCTCTCGCGACATGAAAGATGAACCTCTATCTGAATGTACAAAGGAAGGGGCTCCAAACATAAAAAATAGATCTGAAAAAACATCTGATAACTGTTGCTGAACTAATGTCCTTACAGGGGTAAGCAAATACAAAACGAGAATACTCGTCCACCATGGTTAAAAGGTAACGGTTTCTGGTTGTTGATGGAAGAGGGCCTTAAAGTCAATATTTAGACGTTCGAAGGGAGTGGTTGCCTTTATCAATTTGCCTTGGAATTGGTGAAATCTTGGCTTCACTTCTGCACATGTTTGACAAGCTGACGTCATCCTTTTTACATCATCCAGAGTGTAGTTTAGATTTTTAGTTTTAATCCAATGAAACATTCGAGTGACTCCCGGATGGCAGAGAGATTTGTGTAATTCAAACAACTTAGCATTGTCCCAGCGAACCGCACATGCCCGAGAGAGCGTATCTGCTTTTACATTCTCCCTACCAGGTCGGTACACTATTTCATATTGATAAGGTGTTAGCTCTAGTCGCCATCTCATAACTTTATCGTTCTTGATTTTGCTTGTATGCCTCTTGTCAAAGATAAATGATAAAGCTTGCTGATCCGTGTATAATCTGAAGTCTCTTCCGATAAGAAATGATTTCCATTTTCGAAGGGCTTCGACAATGGCAACGGCTTCTTTTTCAACAGCTGAAAACAGCTTCTCAGATTTGTTTAGAGTCCGTGAGAAAAAAGCAATTGGCCGATTATCTTGACTCAAAGTTGCTGCCACGGCTATGTCAGATGCGTCAGTCTCCACTACCAGTGGCTCTTGCCCATTCCTAGGAGTAATTACCGAGTTTGCAATGTCAAGTTTGAGGGCTTCTGCAAATCTGCAACCGCTTCCTGTGACAAAGGAAAAGAATTTACTTGTGTCAGGTTTCTTATTTTATCAGAAAACCGATGTATCCATTTTGAATAGTGAGCGAAAAATCCTAGGACTCGCTTTAGTGAAACTTGGTCTTTGGGCACAGGAAGTGACAGTAGAGATTCTAGCCGATCTGGATCAGGTCGAATAGAGTTATGGGAAACTAAATGTCCCAACAAGGTTATTGAAGACTGGTTGAACTTGCTCTTTTCGTTGTTGATTACAAGTCCATACTTAGTTACAGCATCTAAAAATGTTCTTAGATTCACATCATGATCCTTTTGGTCCTTTCCACATACGGTCAAATCATCCAGATAGGCATACACTCCATTCAGTTTTTCTTTTCTAATGATTTGGTCCATGGTCTTTTGAAAACATGCCACCCCGTTGGTTACGCCAAATGGGATTCTTCTGAATTGAAAAAGACGACCATCAGCCTCAAAAGCAGTGTACTTCTTCTCTTCGTCAGAAATTGGTATTTGATAGTATGCTTGCTTTAGATCAATGACACTAAAAACCTTGTTCGTCGCTACAGTGGATACTAGATCATCTATGTTTGGTAAGGGATAGGCGTCTAACAGAGTAAATTTGTTTATCGTTTGCGAATAGTCCACACACAGTCGCTTCTTCCCTTTGTCGTTTGTAACAACCAACACTTGTGCACGCCAAGGTGACGAACTAGGTTCAATGATCTCCTCAGTCTGTAGTCTTTCCATTTCTTGTTTTATAAATTGCATATCTTCATCTGAGTAACGTCGTGATTTTGTGGCTATTGGCTTACAATCTGGAGTTAAATTGCAGAATAGTTTGGGTGGTTCAACTTTGGCACAGGAGCACACCAACAGAGGAGGTTTCTTACCTCCAAACCAAACCTGTATATTTGAGTGGAGTTTCATGATATCATGTCCGATAAGCACGTCAGTACAAAGATCTTCAAGAACAGTCAACTTAAAATTGTTGTAATTGTGATTCAACAGATTTAGGTTGATTTTAACAAACCCGTGGACGTTTGATTTCATATTAGAAGCAGCTAGTGATACTTGTCCACTTTCATTATACATTTTAATTTTGTTTAACTGAACAAACTTCAAGTTTACAAAGCTTGATGTACTCCCGGTGTCTATTAAGCAATTTGCTTTCAGGCCATTCACTTTAGCTTCAACTGTAGAGTCCTTCAATACAGATGTATTATGTGTAGTTGCTATTAGTGCAGCTGATGTACTAGACGTCTTCTGTTTTACTTTAAAATGTTGAGTTGGATTACTTTTACAGACTCTCGCATAATGCCCTGTCTTGTTACATTTCCCACAAGTTGCTTCTCTGGCTGGACAGCGATCTCTAGAGTGTCTATCATGCCCACAAAAATAACACTTGCCATCAACATTTTTAATAGCGGAAACAGTCGCTTCTTCCTTTTGTTGTAGTGGGAATTCGTACTGACAAGCTTGCTTTGCCAATTTATTCGTTGCACAAGTTTGCATTCCGTACATAGATTTTTGATAGCTCTCGACTTGAGCTTGAGCCATTTCAAGAGCTCTAGACTGTTCCACTGCTTCAGCTAGGTCCAAAGTTTTATTTTCAAATAGTCTCTGTCGTATGTATGACGAGGCTAAGCCATTGATAAAAGCATCACGAATGTAATGATCCCTGTATTGAATCGCATTAACAGCTTCAAAAACGCAATCTTGGCTCAAAAGTTTCAGTTCCGACACATATTTGTCAATAGTCTCACCTTGTTGCTGTTTTCTAGTCATTACTAAATATCTTGAGAATATTTCATTCTTTTGTTTGATGTAAATTGAGTTAAGAACTCTCAAAGCGTCTTGGTAAGTTTCAGATTCCTTGATAAATTTATAAGTAGTAAAAGATAATCGATTAGTTAGTAGTTTCAGTTTGTCCTTGTCTTCAACGAATTCTGTCATGGTTAGAAAGTCTTCGAATGTTTGTAACCAGTGCGTCCATTCCTCTGAGGCAGTTGGAGATTCCGGGTCAATTTGCAATTTGTCTGGTCTAAGGAATTTCTCCATTGTAATGTAGCACTAACTGAGTTTATCAATGAATGAATAAAATTGGGGGAACTACGTCCAAAGAGGAATGTCAAGCCTCCGTCATATCTAAAGGATTACATATGCTATACTTACCTTGAAAAATAGTGGGGGAGAATGTGGTGATGTGAACATTATCACCTGATAATATTTATTATTTGATTTGTTTGTAAATATTGTATTTGTTCTTAACTAAAACATGGTTGTAATTTTGAATGAATAAAATTGTTGTAAGAAAGACTTAGTAAACCAAAAGTATGGCTTTTATTCATTCAAAATTACAACCATGTTTTAGTTAAGAACAAATACAATATTTACAAACAAATCAAATAATAAATATTATCAGGTGATAATGTTCACATCACCACATTTAGTTCGTTATTAGTTTTTATTGATATATTTATCGTTGTTATCACTTTTAGGATTGGACTTCATTCATTGTTATTAATAATCATTTTATTCATTCGTTGTTCGATATACAAATTTTATAAATAAATTACCCAAGCTTTACCTTAGTCTCTATATTACATTATTTATATATATTATATGTCATATGTATTATATTCAACCTTGACGTTTGCTATCCAATGTAGAAATTGTCTGAAAGCAATAAAGAATTACTATTATTATTATTATTATTATTATTATTATTACTAGCAACAGAACCCGTTGTGATTAAATACAACGGTCTCTAGTAAAATAATGGTTGTGAAATCCATACACCACTTTACTCACTAATATTAATGGTACAGATTAAGCACATAACATTAGAATCGCATACTTAACATAACGAACTCACTTTAAACACAAATGCAAATTGTTAACAACACCATTATAAATCAAAGAAAACTGAATTAAATAACAATTTAACAATAAGCTGTTAAATGATTAACACATGTTTCGTATGTTTTTTATATGCAAACTGGTAAACCAATTATTGCAATCTATAAAAATTATTGGTTTTTATTTTCCGAGTCGGGTTAAAAGTCTTCTACCCGACCGATTTTCATAATTTTGGCCTTAAAATAAAGGTATGGACGCACCACAGATTTGTCATTAATCATCGGCATTCATTTATACGTATATTTCGAGTTATGCACAAAATGCGTCCCTGTATATAAAGCTATGCAAGCACATATTTGTCATCAAGCATCATTATTAATTTATCTAGGCTAATGTATTACTCAACGATAAAATACACATTAGATTTTTTATTTTTTACTTCAATTTAAGATGTATTCCAGCAGTTCTAATTACATTACCCTATATGTTTTGGTCTAAAAACCTTTAGTGAAATGCCAGCTTTCATTTGAGGTATTGATTATTAAGATTCCGATCTTAATAATCCTACCTAAAGCACAATGCTGAATCACGAATCAACAATAATTATAATAGTTTTAGTACTTATCTGCAATCAATGATACGTAACTCAATTTTTGTTTAAGTTATTTTATATGTCTTGGTCTTAAAATACTTCAAAGGCTTTCACTTGAGATATTGATAGTTTTAATCAGTTAGGTTAAAGATATAGCCTACTGTATCTCTCATTCAGAAAACATAAACTAAATTATGGAATTTAGTTTTAGATATATTTACTCAATTCTAATTACGTTATTCATTTGTTTTGACTTAAGAACCTTCAGTGAAGTACCAGCTTCCATTTGAATTATTGATTATTAAAATCGGACAAACCTAAAGCACACTGCTAAATCACAAACAACCCAAATTTTTCCAAAAATTGAGTTATTTATCATCGGTTTATAGTCAAACAGTCTTGCTTGCAACCTCAACAGCAACAGTCAGACTTTGACGGGTTTCACCTAGTAAATATTTAAAAAATAAAACTTTCATAAGGATTTGAAAATCTACACGAATTAGGCTTTCCAGTGTCCTATTAATTAATAAAATCGGTTCAGTAGAACTGTAGATTTAATTGTACAAAGTTTAACAACAAAATCTTTAGTTCAGTATTTTCTCACCATTATAAATTTGAGGTTGCTTAAAGTTTTTGCAAATAACTTTGAAATAGTGAGGAAATCGACCAAAGTGGAAGGTAATATTCTGATAGAGAAAAAAAGTTTCCTACAATTTACTATTATGTATTTTTGGAAAATACTCAATAAAGGCAGCCTAAAGTTGGCTACAAATATAAACTTGGAAATATAAACTTGAAAAAAGGAGTTTAAAATGTAATATTGTTTATTTTTATTGTTTTACCTCAAATATGTAATAAAATCAAACTTTCATAATTATTTACAAATCTACACGAATTAGGCTTTTCAACGACCCATTAAGTAACCAAATCGGTCCAGTAGAAGTCTAGATTTAGTTGTACAAAGTTTAACAAAAATATATGTAATTCAGTATTTTCTCACCACTATAAATTTGGAGATCACTTAGATTATTGCCAATAACTTTTAAAAGGAGGGTAAATCGACCGAAGTGGATGTGATATTCTGAAAGAGAATAAAATTTACTACAAAAAACTACCATGCATATCTTGAAAATGCTTAATAAAGGCAGCCAAATCTAGCTAAAAATAGAAACTTTAAAACAGAAACTTGAAAAAAGCAATTTTTAATGTATTTTTGTTATTTTTACTTTTTTTACCACAAAGATTTTAATAAAATCACACTTTCATAATTATTTGCAAATCTACATGAGTTGGGCTTTCCAATGACCCATTAATTAACAAAATCGGTCCAGTAGAAGTATAGATTTAGTTGTACATAGTTTAACAAAAATCTTCCTAACTCAGTATTTTCTCATTACTATAAATTTGGAGGCTGCTTAGCTTTTTTGCAAATAACTTTTAAATGGTGAGGAAATCGACTAAAGTGGAAGGTGATATTCTGAAAGAGAATACAATTTCCTACAAATTGATACCATACACTTCTTGGAAACACTCAAAAAAGGCAGCCAAAAGTCTCACCCAAATAAAAAGTGTGAAAACACCGTTTTCAATGTATTTCTTATGGAAAACATGTTTTTATAAATTGTTCACCATAAATCATAACAAAAACAAACTTTCATAATTATTTGCAAATCTACACGACTTAAGCTTTCCAACGACCCATCAATTAATAAAATCGGTCCAGTAGAACTCTAGATTTAGTTGTACAAAGATTTTTAAAACTGAATTATATATAGAATAGGTTATTATTTGCTAAATAAAGTTATTGACAGAAAACAAATGGCATTTGAAATCCATTGTCATATTTTAAATAATATGTTAACAATCAATCGCTAAATAAGGTAATTTTAATCACCACATTTTGCTTGTTATCTGTCACAGAAATTTAATAAGTTCTTATACATTTTAATGGCAATAATAAACCTCAAATTTAATTGCCTGATTTAGGAGTAGGGGGTTTACAAAGTCTCCGTCACTGTACATGGTATGTAGATTATTATTGTTTCAGGTGGTAGCTGCGATACTACTTTTTTATAAGTTCTTATTTGATTGATTTGGGAGACGAATAAAAATATCAGAATTGATAAATTTAAGTAAACTGATAGAAAATTAATATATGAGTTAATAAGAGAGTATTGCATAACAATTTTGTAGTTTGCAAAAAAAAACTTAGCGACCAATCTTGTCAAATATGCGAGTTAAGTAGGGAGGGGGGCATTAAACAAATGAAAGGGACATCGCATGAAAAAAAATGTGGGGGGGGGAGAGAGACTTTGAATTTTCTAACTATTTTACGCGGATTTCCCAACTTTATTGCACAAATTTCCCAACAATATTACACAGATTTCCCAACTGTATTACGGTACTCGAATTTTCCACATGGATTAACCAACTATGTTACTTGAATGTCCTAACTATTTATTCAGATTTCCCAACTAATTAATAGTAAGAAGGATAGTCCTATTTTACCTTTAGAGCCTCTTTATGTAGCTTTATGTAGCTACATGCACAAAATACAAGAAATGAAGATTTGTCTTACATTATTGATTTGACTGTCAATCTTAATTTTTGAATGTGCCTGAAGAGTCTCAACGCCTCAACAATGTTCGTACTGTAGGTCTACTGATCAATAATACATTAAGTTTACAGCCTCTTAAAATCATTTTTTTAATAAACACTGCAGTGAATACGGCTCTCCACGCGCAGTTCGGAATGACATTTCTCTAAAAAGCATTGAATTATCTTGTACTACAGATACATAAAGTAACGTACCATAATTACGCAACATATGAAATGTCCAAAACTTTTTTATTTTAATTATTAGTTTATACGAATAGATATCTGGTTAGTTTAAAAATAAACCTTTAAGTCTTCAGTTTCAAACTACCGAAAATCCCAACTCATACCTTCAAATACCCCAAACATTCCCAACTTGTACACTTTTCAAATATGATTGGGGGGTTGGCTCACCTTTTGTGAACCGAGTATAATAATTATTAGTACAGATTAATCGCATAACTTTAGAAGCACACAAAATATAAGGAACACACTTTAACCACAAATGCAAATTGTGAACATAAACATGTAAATAAAGACAATCAATGAAGTAACAATAGGACAATCAGCTGTTAATGGTAGTTTACGCAACGATCGAGTGATAATGTTAACGACAAGAGTGTAACTTCAATAAGGTACGAGCCTAGGCAGGTTTCACCATAAATTTTTAATAAAACCACACTCATAACTATGTGCAAATATACACATATTAGACTTTCCAAAGCCCCATTACGGGAAGTAATAAAATGGATCCAGTAGAACGATACAAAGTTGTACAAAGTTTGACAAAAATATCTCTAACTCAGTATTTTCTTACAACAAAAAATTCTGAGGCTGCTTACCTTTTTTGGAAATTAGTTTTAAATGGTGACAAAATCGACCACAGTGGAAGGTAATTTTTCGAAAGAGAATAACATTTCCAATAAATTGCTATTAGTTTCTTGAAAATACTCAATAAAGGCAGGCAAAAGTTGCCTTTAAATAAATTGATGTGTAAAGTCCCTTTTTCAAT